AAACACAAAATAAACTGTGAAGCATATCTGGAACACACATTTTGTCATGCATCATCTACATCTAGTTCAGAGTACCTTTTAGGACAGACCCTATGGCACACCCTTCTCTTAGAAAAAACTCAACCAGCAATACTGTATCTTCAAAAAAAGTCAGTATCTTCCCTGCATCACCTACCTACAGAACACGAAGCTTCTGGCACAGTTACCACAAACACTTTTCACTGCAAAAGTGAAAAGCAGCATCAAAACACCAGTTACCTGTAGCAAAAAGAGTTGTAACAATAGTGCTGCAGGATGTCTTTACTGCAAAACCATTTTAAGATAATCGAGTTAATCCTACTGGATTGAGAAAAGCCAAAGTGTACAATAAAACTTAACTGCTCTGTCCCTACTGTTGCAAACAGAGGATTTGACTCCACGGCAAATGACCATCAGGCTGGCTGTTGAGGCTCCCCCTCTCTCACGCCAGCACTGGTATGCCTGGGTGAGCGTTGTCACCAGGAAACCCAGAGGAATGTGCAGTTGGGAAAGAAGGACTGACCTTTTAGTGCAGTCCTAAAAAAGTATCAGTTCTGCCACGCTGTAACTCTGCACCCAGTAAGATGGAACATGCTCACCAGAGTGTGCTTTTTAGCAAAACTGAAGGTTTAGGACTTGAAGAGAGTTAGATCATTAGACAAGCAGAAACTTTGCACATATTTGAGTGTCCTAAGGCAAAAACATCAAATAAATGAAAAATACAGCATGCAAAATGCCCCTGCAAGTGTTTTCTTTCTTGTCGTAAGGCTAAGACAGTACAAAGAGAAGTATTATCTTGTAATCTGCATCTCTGAATGCTATTTGGCATCCTGACAGATTCCGTCTTTATTAGTTCATTGCTTGAATTACCTAACTGCTGAATTTTATTAAAATAGATTTCAGCTCCCTAGAAGTATAGAGACTATTTAATTTAACATTAAAAGATCATTCGAAAAGATGACTTCTGTTAAGAACCTTTCTATTTAACATTGCTCTTTAGAAGTCTTGCAGGGTCCAGGACATTTACAGTACCATCTGCAGCAATTTCATCTACGCCAATTTGGGCCAAACCCTGTCATATAATTACTCAATTAAAAATAAAAGATATTTCACCAAATTGGTTAGCAAACTGCTTCTGCACTCCTTAGGAGGAGATCAGATAAATCATATTCTCCTCCCATTACTTCAGGAATAGAAATCAGAAAAGTTCTATTTGCAGTAGTTTTTACCCAATACAAATACATTTGTATGCACTGCATGTGTAAACACATAAGCTATAGTCATTTTTTTTTCTACACACATTAGCACAGAAATAGCTTCCTTTTACACATATATACAAGCACCACCTCAGTGATTCTAAGATTTAAAGAAGTGGATTTTTTTTTTCCTTATTTGAGCTTTCTGTACTTCGAGCATCAGAATACAATCAGCATTTAGCAGAGCCTATAAAAGGAAAGAGGAAACCATGAACTGCCTTACCCTGCTCAGCAGTTAAGTGATTTGATTGGCTTCTTGTTGGGCAGGGTCTCCACGGGGAGAGCAGTACAAGGCAGCCACTCATCACACTATAGATCAAACGGTTCAAGCCCTCAGTGTTTTATTAGTTCTCACATCCTATTTCAAAGCTTTCCACTTCAGGAGGCCTCAATGCACCTCTCAGCAAAGTTGGTGCAAGAAAAGAACAAACCTGTCTATGACTGTGACAAGCTGGCATAAAAATTTCTCCCCCAGAACAGCAGGTGCTGATGCTACACAGGAAGAGAACTTACCACCTTCCTCAACCTGAGCGGCCTATGGTGGTGTCTGCAAAGGGCAAAAAAAAAAAAAAAAAAGACAAGGCGATTTAAATCCCATGCAAATTAAAACAAAATTTCACATTTTCTCCACAAAGATCATTAACACACTACCAAGTTCAGCACAGGTTTCCCCCAAAGTATTAGCAATCTCCAGCAATTAACATTTTTTTCTAACCCTCTGCCGCCTTCCCCTGCCCTCACACTCTCCAGACACCACCAGCACGCGGCACTGCAGATGCCGCGAATTGAAGGAGCAGGCTGCTGAGCGGATCCCCCTCAGACACCGTGTGGGAATGAGGGAACCGCCTCGCTGAAAGGCTCCTGCTCCCCTGTAGGCCTCAGGACCAGGGCTGGGGGCAGCGCCCACCACCCTGGCGCCGTGCCTCACCTACCACGAAGCTTCCAGCAAACAAGATGGCTCCTTGGAGAGGCCACCGTGGGCAACGTCCAGCGCCAGCCCCACGAGCCGCCGTCTCTCAAGGGCTGCTCCTCCTGCCAATCAGCGCGCTAGCCTATCAGAGATCGCTCTGGGACCAGGCGGCTCTGCCCCCCACTCCTCAGCGAGGAAGAGGGAGCCATAAGCGCTACTGAGGCGGCGGCCAGCCCTGCCAGGCTTCCCTGGGGCAAGCAGGTGCATTCGGCAGCGTTTCCCTCTTTGCAGCCGTACAAGGACGGGCCTGCAGGAGTCAGGGTGTCTGCATTGCCCCTGCTCAACTAAATCAATCTCAGAGAATCATCTGCATGTTAATCTTCAAAGTCAGCTCAGTTCTACTCATCTCGTGTGAGAAAACACTTGACTTTAAATGTTAACACCCACGTCAGGCAACAAATACGGTTTCTTAACAGGGGCAATCATGCCTTTCTCACAGTTCTTGCTGTAACTGGACTGCAGCTGTGTGGCCAGATTATCCTAAGAAAAAGCCTTCTGTACAGGATTACACTTTGTCCTATTTCATTAGCATGCAGAAAATGCAGCAAAATCAAATTCTCATTCCTCAAAGCAATTATGGATGTGCAGCAGTAAATTCTCACAAACATTTAAAGGTTTTTGTATGCAGAGTCCTTGGTTGTCTTTGACAATACAGAAGGAAAATTACTGCACATTAAAAAGGGGGGGGGGGATTTAAATATAAAGCAATCCTTACTGTGCACAAGATGCCACATTTTCGTTATTTTTTTATTTAAGAAGGACCTTCAGTCGGCACTAGCTGCCTTGTTCAATCAGGGCACCGGGCACACGGCTGGGGTAAGCCGCACACCATCCCCTCTCCCACCGAGGGCTGAAAAACCTCGCCGGATTAAGCTCTTACGTTAGGCACCTCTGTGAAAGTGTCTAAAGTTAGGCTGGATGAACGCGAGCCAAGCTGTTGAACAGATGGAGTGAAATCCTCCTCTTGATAACAGGAACTTTATATCACTGCCATGGATAAGAAGGGCAGCTAAAAAAAAGTCAGGGAGGTAGTTATATAAATTTCAAGAAGGCTTACCAGCAACGCTTAAAGGTAAAACTTTCTTATAGATCTTGAATATCCACTTCCAGCTGCAGACCCTGAGCAGCCAAGTTCTGCAAAAAAATGAGATGGTAACACTAGAGCTACCACACTACGAGGCCTTAGGAACTTAATGATGCAGCACAAACATGCAAAACATTAGGAAAGCTGGAGCCTCGAGCACACGAGACTTAAAACCCAGCATCAGAGTGGCACTCATCTCGAGTTCAGTGCACAAAACCAGCCAAGAGGTATATGTGAACAGAGGTGATTGACTTCCAGCAAATAACTAGCCGTCTTATTAATGCCAAAAATGTTACCAAATACACTCATTCCTTTTCGCTTACAGGTCTGTAAAATAGTTCTCCTTATTAGCAACTCAGACTGAACGTATTTTTTACCTTGGTTATTCATGGTCTTGAACATCTGCAAATTAATCTTCCTAACTTAAAAATTACCTGCTTCTTTGTGTTTCACATGTAATTGTGCTTCAAAAGATGTGCGTCTCATCACAGGAACCATTTTTCTTAATTTGCTGTGGATATTTCGGATGGAGTTGGATGTGAAATACACTGGTAAGATTTATTTTCGAGCACCAAAATCCTTCAGGTAGATATCTAAAATAATCCATAATGACTGGAAACAGGCTATAAAAAGTTTCCTATAAAATGCTGTGAAGCAGTAAGTTTCTCATTATATATGTTGCATTGCCATGCTAAAATGGGGAGTATATGCTGCATGCAATTTTGAGGTAATGTTTACTTAGAGAGTAGAAGAGATCTGAACAATAAAGCAACTTTTCCCCTCCCTTTAAGTACCTCATTTTTGGAGGAAAGAGGAAAGTACAGTATTACACGATTTCCCCGTCCCTTTGGGGAAGACAAGTAGATGAAGTGCTTTGGGCCTGGGTTGTTTCTTCCTCTCCCCTATTTACTTTCAAACTTTCTCCAAAAGTTGTAATTACTCAGAAATTGCAGAGTTGATGTTACCAAGGGATTGCACCTCTGTGAAAGACAAAGCAGCAATGACTATGCACAAGCTTATAATGCATTCTCTTAAAGCAAAAGTATGGTTAGAAAAGTGACAGCGTGGTAACAGCCTCCTAGAGCAGGGCTGCTTTCGGAGTCACCTTTAGTCATCTTGGTGACAAAAATACATTTTTACTCCTTGTTCTCTCTGCAGAACACACAGAGCTAGGGGAGCCTGCGCTGCACTGCGACCCAATTAGTGCAGTCATCCAGTTGCACAGCTAACCGCTACGTTCTGCTACAACTAGAAAACCCTACTGAAGATGACATGAACAACACTTGACCCCACAGAATTTGTTAGTGATGACGATAAGCAGAGCTAGCCTACATGTACTTTGCAGATCCAAGTAGAATTTGGAGAGCCATGGGAAAAAAAAAAAATGTTCTAAATTGGACATGTTTGAGAAATACTGAGTCACAAGCCTTAAGCTGCACAAGGTCATTTTTGCAGCTTCTTTTTTCAAAACAAACCCTATATTTTATTATATAAAGCAGTGTTGGCAACACTAAGAATATGCAGTCTTTTTTAGCAAAGCCCTTTGCGGCATGACAAGTTCTGGTCTTAGAGGAGCTTGCAGATGCTACTGTTTCTACTTTAAGAGGAGAATTCGTTTTATATTGCAAAATATTTAATTAATTTCCTGTTAAAATGAAATGAAACAACAAAATAGTTATACAATTTTACTAGTTTATATTTCAATTCATAAAGTATACACACTGCAACTATGCTACCACAATGTCCACGCATCTAATATTGATGGAGTTACAGGTTTGTTTGGTTTTTTTTTGGTATTAAACAATAGAGATAATGTATGGAATTAAGGAAAAAAGCTTGGACATAGCATGTTCTATTTTGTAGTTACAGAGTACATTAGCTAGCATTAGTACAGTAAACAAGAAAAAGGTAGAAATACAAAATAAATGAAATATCTTTATATACAAACCAGTGCCTCTTATTGTAACCAGCTTATACTCACACTGCACACAAAATTTATCCACGGATGCAATAGCATAACACAAACCATTATAAATTAAAAAATTACAAGGTGCAAAACTCCATTCTACAGCTTTCTGGTGAGAACTCAAGACAATCCAATGAATAAGAAATCCAAGCACGTTTAGCACCTATTAGTGCAACTGCATCGAGCGTGAAAAATGACCTACACAACTTCTGAACATGTTACCAGGGAAGCCAGTTGGACAGCTATAAATGCTCGCAGCTACACTCACGCGGTGATTTTTGCCTCATATATATCTCAGTTTATTGTTTCTTTGTCCCATTCATACCTATGTGCAAAACTAAATCCTGGAAGCTTTTTCAGAGCTTCACAGAAGGCTTGCTACAGCCGGGTAAAAACAAACAAAAACAAAACAAAAAAACTGACAAAAAAAACAGACAAAAAGACTCAAATGTCAGACCATCCACATAATTAGTACTTATTAGCAGTCCTGGTGTTGGGGATTTTAACGCTGTTGATATGTGGATTGAACAATATGACACAGAAGTGAAACGGAAATTTGCCAAGAATTCTGATTTTCTTGTCTAGCACTTAGACAAGCCTCCCAGCCTCAGGTTGCGAATTTGTTTGGCAGCCCATGCCAAAAAAGCCCAGAGTTGCATAGAATTGATTAGTAACAGAAAGACATGCCAAACACAGAGAGATGGATGCTGCATCTACTAAAAAAAAGTGGAGTTGCTCGACAGGAATGCTGAAATCATCCCCATTCATAAAGGAAAACATGTTCACCACCTACTCTCCATATCCTACCTCTGGGGACTGCTTTCTGGCACTGATGTAGGTCTTGCTAAAGTTGTCTTTTTTTGTTGTTGTTTGTTTTCTCATTTTTTCCTTTTTTTTTTCCTTTTTTTTTTTTTATTTTGTTAGTGACACTTTTCCTTTCAAATAAAATATTAAAAAAGGTTTTAACTGTAAAAAAACCTATCATATGTAAACTTAACAATTAGGGTTTGGTAAGTTCTCGTACCTAGTTTGTGAAAAGCCTCCAGCCAGACAGCAGAATGGAGTGTTTCTCTGAAGAGCTTCAATCTAGCTACATCACCTGTTAAATATCAGTAGTATGAAGATCCCATGTCTAGCAATAAAACCTTTCTTGTGTTTCCATCCTCTTTATCATTGACCTATTCAAATCCTGACATGCTGTGTTTCTATTTTATTTACATTCTGGTCCTCTCATGTCACAGAATTAAACATCTGGCCAAGGAAGGCAACAAAAGGTGTTGTGTTAAGAAGGTGTGTTTGTCAGAACTGTTTTTCAACAAGTCTCTTTTCCTTGGACTCCAGTCACTGTTTTTATAGAGCTTATTGTTCTGTTGAACCATGTTTTCTTTGCAGCTTGTACTTCATTCAGTGCCAGACCCAAATGGTGCTCCAAATCCTGCAAACGGAAGAGTAATTTCATTAATTTGTTATGTACTCACAGTGCAAGGTTATGTGAGTTAAACTTATAAGGCTCTAGGACATCTATAATCTCTTGGCCACTTTAGAAGCTAAATAAGTCTTACATTAATTAAAAGTAGCACAACAAGCTGATGAAGAAAAAAAAAAAAAGCTTTGAAAAGCAAAACAAGACTTGTGTCATTGCCCTTAGTGAAACACTCAGCTTTCTGTAGTACATCTAAACCCTTTAATTTTTTCCCATCTGAGAAAGAGCTATTCCCACGGGAAGTGGACTTTCTACAAACTAATTTTTATGTTTCTGTGAACTGGCATACCAGTTTTAGTCTAAATGAATAATGTTGTCATATTTTACAGAAATATCTCAGATACCTGGAGTGCTTTCCAATCATATTTTAAGAAACATGTCTAACATTTGTCTCATCTTACTTCTTCATTTAACATTGATTGTGAGATAAAGAAATGCATGACTCAGTACTTTGTCAGAACTTGGATTTCTTCCAAGAAGTTGCAGAAGATCAGTCAGTAAGTACTGCACTGCAGCCAGGCAGATGTCTGGAAGTTGTAGTAGCTGGTAAATACAGTTCATGCAATTTCAATTATTTTGTCTGCATACACTAAGTTTCAGACCCAATGTTTGGTGAAATAACCCATGCAGGAAATAGCAGGTTAGAGTTTTAACCAACAGGATCTGTTGCAATCCCTGTATATGACACAGATTTTTCTAGGAATGCAGACATACCATACAGACTACAAAATGAACCTCCAAAGCATTACCTGTATTTTACATTCCGCCTCCACAAGCTGCAACTTGGTCTGGGCCAGCTCAAGCTCCATTTCCCTCAGCTGGTTTTTCAGCGTTTCCTTCTCCTCATCTGTGTCCTCATCTGAACCGTCCTTGGCAGAACTAGCAACCTTCACACGGCCTTCTTTATTGAAGAACTCCCGGCAATGCTCACAGTCATCCACTTTTTGCTAAAGTAAATACCTGATTGTGAATGCTTGCATTGAAGTGCTGGTGATATGATCAAAGCCTTTTCCTGCCTCTGCTCTGGAAGAGCAGCACAACACGAGAGGGACCACTAATGACTTGCAAACTCAGGAACTTCTGGGGAAGCACAGCCAAGCAGGAACTCCAGCCACCCGTAGATTTATGGGCTCTGGAAAACACTGCTCTATTTTTGGGAAAACAGTATTGCTACCATAATGGGCTCTGTACTGCCTACATGTTACTTTATGATAAAAAACAGTCAGAGAAATCTCCTCCAGAAAAGAAGACCCCTCAAAAAAAATAAACAGCCCAGCATCGACATTAGTATGTAAGCAATATAGCATGGGAGAGAGCTAACAACTACTCATCTCTTCTCCAAGATCTCCCCCTTATAATCTTCTTCCCAAAACTGTAAGTCACTAAGGTACTCTCTTTCAGCCACCATTTTAGTAATGAAATAAATGGTGTGCTTTCTGCTATGATTTTGCCAAGAGACTTAAACATTGTAGACTGTGGATCTATCTGGTCTCTTACCCGTATTTTCTCAATTTCAGCTTTATTTGCTGTTTGTTGCTTTTCCAGTCGCTCGCTCAGCTGGGAACAAATCTGACAAGCAAAATTATGTTACCAGACCATTTATAAATGTAAATTTCCTCCCAAATGAATGCTAAAGCACAAATAAATGCTACAGGACTATTAACATGGATAGACTGAGGGTGCTCAGAAAGCCAGGAAAATTGGGATGCTGCATTAAGTTGTCTCATCGTACACATTCTCATTCTCTACATAGTATTATTCTATGCCCAAAGGAGAAGTTTCAACATAAGTTATTAGCAGTTTGGCCTTGCTAAATAAGTCAGAAAAGGTTAGGAATAGCATGGCTCTTTTTGTTGCCTTTCGGATAAAAGAACCAGGGAACACAGCCAGAGTAGTAAAAAAACCCATTTAATTCCTCAAGACCTGTGTGATGCAGACTTAAGAATGTTTTGAAGGTTACGGGCTCACTAAAAAGATACATGAATTTGCTCCCTTGATACCTTATGATCAGTAGCTTGAATTTCAAAGCAAAATCTTTGAAAGGAAAGAAGCATCTTTTTTATTTCTTAAGAAATTTCTTAAATTTCTTATTTCTTTATTTCTTATTTTTATTTCTTAAGTGCAGTTACCATTTCATTGAAGAAAGGAAGTGGGGAGAGGACCTTTTTTTGGAATGAGGTGAACCTTTGATATACAAGAGCCCATATGATCAGCATTAGGCTGTAACTGATGCTGTGGTGACTGATGACCTACAAATACCTATGTCAGGGGCAAACAGAACTGACCACCAAGCACCAGGATCTCAGCAAAAGAAAATGCAAAACCAGCCACATGCTTCCCATTTAAAATAGCTAAAAAGTCTCCTCGAATGCATGGCATAGATTACACTTATTTCCAGAAATCTCCTAAAATACCTGAGAAAGTCTTGCAATTTGATGGCAAACCACATGATCATTAAGTTGTATTTACCTGTTTGTAGTCGCCAATAATAGAGCTGTTCTTTTTGATCTCTGACTCCGCCTTATCTAGTTCCCTACGACACATTTCCTTCAGCTGTAGGAAAAAAAAAGTGTAGGGTTTATATATTTTTACAGTCTGAAAAACAAGCGGCTGGTATTTCCTCCTCCTTAGCCTCACTGCTTTCACGCAAGCCTATACTCTACACCAGGGAATAATGATTTAGCTCAGCTCCATGCAGACAAGGAAGAGCTGGACTTGGGTGGCCATCATTGTTGTAAAAATTGACTAGCTAAGAGAAGAAAGTATTAAAAAAAAGTGCTGACAGCTGAAGTCCTATACTGCCTGCCTGTGCAGCAATCTCTGGCACACTCTGCGCCTTCATGATTTCAAGTTAAAAATTCACAACCCTATGAAGCACCTGGCAAGAAAGTGAAGAATTCTGCTTTGCTGACATCCTTTACACTACAGAAGAGGGACAAACACGACTTAGAACATTAAACCCTTCCCACACTTGTCACTTTT